TGCGTGACTTCCCATTAAATGGGCAAAATTGTTTTAATTGGTCTTCAAACCTCAGTATAGCTGTGAGCTATAACAAGAATTAAAATGCCATAATCATAATAGGTTACACCCAAAAAAATGCGATAATGTAGAATGTCGTAAAAAATTCGACCAAATCAACTAGAAACATTGTAGAAAATGTTGCTTTAGAAGATAACGAGTGAACGATCTTGCAACAGTAGCTAGTCTCCTTAACCAATACTTTTCAAGAATTGCTGCCGATCTCACTAAGGGTCTTCAACCACAAAATTCAATATCAGACGTTTACCCAAAAATTTTAGACACGATGTTCATTTCTGAAACTTCTTCCTATCGTATTTTCAAAATTAAAAAAAAGTAGACAAAAAATATGCGTCCTGTTTAGACGAATTTCCGGATTGTTTGTTAAAGACTTGTATGCCCGCTATAATACACCCATTACCTCATATATTTAATGTATCCTAATGTACAGGAATTTTCCCAGATATTTGAAGAACAGCTATGATTAAGCCGTTTTTCTAAAAAGGTAACAAAAGTGAAGTTCAAAATTATCGTCATTTTGTCGTTATTTTTACAAGAATATTAGAGATATTATTTTACGTATGAATGGAAACCTTTGTTAGAAAACAAGACGCGTTTTCAGATTGCCAACCTGGGTTTCGAAAATCCGAATCAACGAAAACAGCAATATTTTCTTTTCTTAACGATGTCGTTTCATCCATGGATCAAAACAAAGCACCTATTGGAATTTTTTAAGATCTTTCAAAAGCTTTTGACGTCATTGATCATATCATTTTACTTTTAAAATTACCTTCGTATGGAATTGGTAGTATTGTTCTAGATTGGTTATGTTCGTACCTTAAACAACGATCTCAGAGAGTAAAAATGCCTTACTGGAATAATGAGACATTATGAACTCACCTTTCTGATTCTTTGCCAATTGCATGTGGAGTCAATTTTAGGCTTTATTCTATTCCTACTATTAGTAAACGATATACCCTCGACGATTTGAAAATGAAGTTAAGTTCTCTTTGCGGATGAGACGAAAATTCTCTGCAGTAAAGAAATCCTACGGAAACTGCCTTTTTTTCTTTTCTTAAAGTTGTTGCTTCATCCATTGACCAAAATTAAGCATCCATTGGAATATTTTTAGATCTTTCGAAAGCTTTTGACGTTATTGACCATAACATCTTGCTATTAAAATTACCTTCTTATGGAGTTCGTGGTATCGCTCTAGTTTGGATAACCTCGTACCTTAAACATCGATCTCAAAGAGTAAAAATACCGTACTGGCACGACAGGACATTGTTTACTTATCTTTCCAATTGTTTACAAAATTGAATATGGGATCCCACATGGGTCGATCTTAGGTCCTATCCTCTTTCTGTTATACGTAAACGATATGTCCTCGTCTATTAAAAACAGAAGAACGGTTCTGTTTGCCGATGACACGAATGTTCTTTGCAAAAAGAAACAATATATAGTATGATTTTAGAAAATTCAAATTGTTTTTTTAATAACAAAAGAATAGTTAATGAAGGAAAAACAGTTTCAATGTATTTTTGCATTTCAAATCAGCAATCGTGTGCTCCATTGAAAATGAATAATATGCAATTAGCTGATGTTCAGGTAACAATATTTCTGGGTCTCTCAATTCAGTCAAACATCAAATGGAATGTACATATAAAGAAACACTAAATTAAGTTCATTATGTTACGCATTCAGAATTCTTTCAAATTCTATCAGCCTTCATGCAACTCGTTGCGTGTATTTTGCAAATGTACATTCCCGCCTCAGATATGGTATAAAATTCTAAGGAAACTCATCTTGTAGTACTCAGACCTTTACATTGCAAAAGAAAATTATTCGAATAATGAAAAAATGCCATCCGCGTTACCCTTGCAAGCCTCTCTTCATTGAGCTTGGAATCTTACCATTGCCTTGCCTATATATTTATGAATCTGTCACATTTGTCAAAAGTTACTTACTTAACGGTGGGGACATATTTTCATGCAATATTGATATTTATAATTACAACACACGACGTAAAAATCACGTTCGTCAAGTGTCAGTATCAACAGCTCACTATCGCAGGGGAGTTAACCTCAGGGGAGCGGATGGAGAGATATTTGGTCGTCAATTGATTTTTCGGTACCAAGGACTCAAAAAACGCGAATTCTCATCAGACAACGTGTCAAAGGATATAATTTACTACATGAAGGGACAAGATGTATCCCCTTTTCGTTGCCATGTCCAGGCAATGGTACAAGATGGACGTCGGGACAAGAGAACAAAATGAGCCAAGGCGGCAAAAGGTAAAGGGGGAGAAATGGAACCAGTGAAACGTGGGGGAAAATAGACGAAATAGGAAAAAAGGCAAGAGCCCAGTGGGACAAAAGGGACATATTTATACAAATATTTATGAACAGTGCTAAAACCTAAACACGAGAGACCGATAAAATATTTTAATGGACTCTTGAGCATTTTAACGGCCGTTGCTATGGACGAGTTCTTAAAGCGTTGGACGGTTGGTTGCTAAGAGCAAGTTTGCTGAAGTAAATAACAAAAAATCTCTTCAACAATCTATTCTGAAAATTTGAAGATCGTAGAGAAAGTATAGTCTTTTACTTGCGTTTAAAGGCTACTATTCTCGCCTAGAAATTATAACATTCGCTCCTAGGCCGCTCGTGTCGTAAACATCAACTCGGGAATTATAGCTATAACTTTGCGCCCGTTGAAGAATACACTACTTGAGTTCCCTCTCCCAGTCGCTACAGAACAGTAGACCGGAACATTCAACAGTCTTGTGATGACTATGCAAAAATGCTAGGCCTCGCCAGTGGTATATATATTATATTAGTTGATTGGATAATTCTACTAGTAGAAATATTATGAAACAACAATCTCTAAATAGTTAAAATCCAGATTTGCCTGACGGGAACAAAAGAGGAAGTTCACATACTCGAAATATTCGAGATGCAAATCCTTCAATTATTTTCTCCCTCAAAAATCTATTCGTGCACCCAGATAAGGCTTAAATTCTGTTTAACACGATTCTCTAATTGCTAAATTGTCATTTGAGGTAAATTCAATTTGAAAAATCACAATTAATACAGACATTATTATACTGTAAAATTTATTTTAAGCAAACTTGTTTTGTAAAATCGCTCTTCAACTGTCGAATTACTTCAATTGAAGATAAAGTGACACATTTCCAATGTTGTGTCCTTGTTTGCGTACAGAGATAAAATACTACTCCGAGAACAGTATGGAGTAGTGCAATTGATAAGTGTTTTTTCAGATTCAGAACAAGATCCCTCGCAGGTCAATGCGTGTGCCTCAAATATCGAGAGGTTTAACCTCGTTCGATAGCCCTATCGTCAGAATAAAAAGTGAATGTTCGTTTTGAAGAGGAGATGAGGAATTGAGTTCACTGTAGTTGTCGCTATATATGCGCTCCTAGTGAGCCACAAGAAACATTCTTACCAACGACGAAGATGGCGCAGCACACTTTCTCATTTCTGGTAAGATGAACACACGACAACACAATGAGCTCATTGCGCTAATGTAAACTCATAGAAACATTATCACTTAGAAATACAGGGAGAGTCATTTCACGTGGTAAAAGTATACTCCACCGTCTATTTTCAGTTACATAAACAAATGTTTTCTATAACATTTTGCTGAAAAATTTTTCGTTTCTGTGCAGTTGTTTCTTGACGATTTCTCTCTTAAAATTGCCATATATAGTGAGTTATATGTTACAGTGAGTCGAACAGTCCATATATAATTGACGAAGATAAACTACAATTTTCGCATACAAATGTAGAAAAATGCAAATGTGTGAATTACCGCAAATTTGGTGCACATATGATACTAATGACCTCCCCTGACTTTAACAGCCGCTCGAGTCTTGGAAATGCACTTTCGGTGGTATATGCAGACTGTAACGAATGGGAAAAAATCAAAATCTTTCACCGCAATTGTGTGCTTCTGAGGCCAAAACCGTAAAGGACATACTTATTACTAATATTCTGAGGACCATACGGATGTGTTTTAGTTTTTCGCTACCACTTAGACAGTAGAGAGAAAGTTATGTAAAACCGCGCGGAAAACGGAGAATATTAGGCAGAAAAACTCATATTACAGGGCCCTGGTTAAGGAAAAAAAAGGATAAATCCGGATGTCAAATTTAGAAAACAAATCCTTTAACACGTGGAGTAGCCAGAATCCATTTTCAATGGGTCTTTGATAATGAAAAATCGAATGATGGCAAAGTGTGTACGTCCGTCCGTCCGTCCGTCCGTCTGTCTGTCTGTGAACGCTAGCGGCAAAACCGGTCAGCCATTCTTAAAAAAATGATATTCCCCAATCGATGAGGCTGATGTCGCGGCCCCTTGTATTTTAAATCAATATTTTAATTTTGTAGGGTAGTTAAATGTAGCCCCTGGGACATTTTCAAAAAAATTGCTCCAATGTTTTTCATTAAATTTGTTATGAATTTTGTAAAGGACATTCAAGTGAATGTGTCTCGTTTTTGTTGAAAACTCTAATTTTTGTAGATTTGCAAAATTTCCAAATTTTTCCGACGACTTCCTACAACTACAATGATTAAGATAGAGATTTTACGTTAATGAATTCAGTTCCTTAAAGATAGGTTTTGAAATAAGGTCATGTGAAAGTTTTTAAAAAATTGAGTTCTTTTCGTCTAATTTTACGTGAATGTACGAGCGAGAAAGTACGTGCTGTTTTAGCACCACCAGTTTTACACTTGAGAAGACTCATCCTGTAAATATTTTCAGGCAGACTTAGTTTTGGACGAATCAGCAAACATTCCCATCACGTTGTTTTCTTGGCTTGTGGCAGAGTGGATGCTACTTCTAGTTTCATAGGCCATTCCACGATAGGCTTCACAATTAGTCCACTCAGGGGCAATTAATTCAACTGTTGCTATTCCCTAATGAAATATGTGTCTGCTTCAGATTTTGACGCTTCTGGCCTGGAAAGCAGCTACGAGCAGTGGGCAAGAGTCCGTGTTTGGTGATGATCTTACCAACAACACGGCAGGTAACAAAAAAAGCGATAACAAATCCTACTTGGCCAGAAAGCTCTCAGCAACCGGGTTTTTGATATGGATTTACAATATTTTTGTTACTATATTTTATACATAATTTGATGAGTTATTTGATGTGAAAAATGAATCTGGGGAATGTCATCTGCAATGGCTAAACAATGAAAAAGAAAGCTAAGACTTTTCTTTTTAATAAATTACTGTGTGTATATTGTTTCCAATTTTGTAATGTACGGTTGATAGGATACGTTGAATATTAGAATAAAAGCTAGAGACTAGGGGAAAATGAAAGGAATTTGAGTAACGCTGAGTTAATTTTGTAATTAAGAATTTCGTTTAAAAAGACGAGATTTTGTTACATCAATGATAATTTAGTTTTAAAATATCTACATTTTCAAAATAGTGGATTTGCTCTCTGTTATTGAATTTGCTGAGAGGTTTCTGGAAAAGTTTCGTATCCGGATGTTAGTCTGTCGTTGCATTAGAAGCATATGAGGGGAGTGAGAATAGGTCAGAAAATGAGAGGTGGCTGTAGGGAGAGTTACATATCCCTGCTATGACACGAATGTGCTTGGAGGCTTGTGGCCTATGGGCACGAATAAAAATACATTCAACCCGAGCGAAGGCATAATGTTTACGTTAAGTCAGAAAAACAGGTACTTCTAAGGCAATTCACCATGCTTCCAGCTGCTGACGTCCGTAAGCCTGGGAACCTCCAAGGCTCTGCAACATGTTTAAGATGCACTGCATCTTAATCCTTGCGAGAGGGGAGGGGCTCAGAAGTCCATGATTCGTCTTTTATAGGTTTCGCTTTCTTACGGCGTTAACAATCATTTATATTGTTTCTAATAGCTCTTTTTAATTTCTCGCGCTACTGGTACGTACTAAATAGAAACTTTTGTAATTGTGTACCGGAAATCGGATATTATTTGCCAGAAAAACTCTTCTTGTCGAATCCTGGTAAGGGGATAATTCTTGTTCCTGTGTGTAGTTAATTACTTCTAACACGTTGTCTAGTCATAATGGCCACATTGTGCTCAGAAAGGAGGTGAAGGCTACATGGCCACTGATTTGAATAACATGGCTATATATCACGATATTACCCATGTCGATATCCCCCTTATGTTTTTATGCTCCAAATGCAGCAAGAATTACAAAGGTAATCTATCAGCTTTGAGTCATTTCCCTGAGTGTCCGGGTCCGAAAGAATCTAAAGGAGACTTTATATGTGAGTTATTCTCCGCCAACTTCGCAACCAAATCAGGGCTCTCACAACATTTGCGCCATGCTCATCCAGACGCAGCTAATAGGGCTCGAGCTGCCAAGGAACAGCGTAGTGGTAGGACTGCTGTGCCTCGAGCAGGGAAAGTCTTCTCTTCGGAGAAAATTATGAAAATGGCTGCTTAGGAGAAAGAGAAACCAGAGACGTCGAAGGAGAATATGGTCGCTCTACTAGGTAAGACCGCCGGACAGGTGGGTGAGAAAAGAAAAGAGACAACACATCGAAGATATTTAGCAACCATTGAAACTGAAGCTACCGTCACTGCAGAATCATCATCGTCCCCATCTGATGGTCGGTGGCCCGATGATTTAGCAAGACCTTCTACAAGAGCAGCTGTTATCGCATCACCTCGCAGGGTCATTAGCCCTCCGAAGACACCAGTAAGTCAAATCCCTATGTTGGTTTCTTCTTTTCCCCTGTATCAAAAACCTACCATTAGGACACGAAGAAAGCCGATGATCCCCTGTTCTGACACTTGCCTAAAAGGGGTGGAACGTCTTTACTGGTCGAGATAAGCAAACAGCCTTGTACCGATTCCCTTCCAAAACCTCGGCCCATATGCAGTGGCCCTGAGGAACTTGCAATAGTAGACTTTGCCTCCCCGGAAGGAAATCCTTTAACGAGAAGGCCTCTATAGTTTCAGAGATGAATCTGGAGCTTTCGTCAGTGCCCGTCCTCTTTGATTCTGTTTTATCTGCTATTGACATGGCGCATTCTGACAATGCTGGTCAATTAGGACGGGACGAAACTTTTATTGAGTCCTCGGCTATGACGCCCGGATATGTAACTACTGAAACTTGCCTTAACAGAGCCACACTAGATGCCAAGCCTAACTGGAAGAAAAACATTTCAACTTGGATAGGAACATGAGGCACTTCTCAAACTAATGTAGATCAAGAGCTCGTTGAGGTAGAAAATGAACCGAAAATAAATGTTCAAGCCCAGAACCAATTGAACGAGACCTGTGCCAAGTTGGTGGTTATTTTTGGCGGGTTCTCTGTACCCACCACCATCAGTTCTAAAAGGCCCCGTAGCCATGGAGGCCAACGCGCTACTCTTATGCTAGAGCGCAGGACCTTTTCAAGAATGATCCAGCGCTTTTGGCAAATTGCATTAGAACAGTCATTGACTGTAATAGGGCCGATAAACAGCCGCTTAACAGGGATGAGGTTAGTGACCTGTACAAATCCATCTGAGGTATCACGCCCCCGATTCGGTTTTCCGAATTAAGAGAGGGTGATAAATTGTTGACACCTAAAATGGACGCACACACAATTCTATAGGTGGTGCAAGTTGCCGAAATTAAAAGTCATCTGGCTGGAATGAAAAGTGCCACACAAAATGGGAGCAGATAAGATAAAAGTTAGCCAAATATCCTTAGGAGCAAAAATTGAAATATTGTCCCTATTGTACACCCAAATTTTATGCAGTGGCTTCTTGGTGAAATGTTAATCGCACCATCCTTATATCAAAAGAGGGGAAGGATAATATGGTTGTTAGTTACTGTCGCCTCATCGCAAGTGCTGTACAGAATCTTTTGGGACATTATGGACAAACGCATTCGATCCGTGGTGAAGTTCAATCCACGCCAGAAAGGATTTATCTCTGAACTTGGCTGTTTCGCTAATATTCAAATTCTTTATGAAGCAGTCTGTGACATGAAAAAAGCAGAAGGTGATGTAGGTACTGTGCTAGCAATATACAAAGCAATTTACACTGTTCCTCGCGCAATGATTGAATTGAATTGAATTTGCCTTATTTTACGTGGCGAGACTCGGGCCATCAGGCCCGCTCTTCCGTCTGACCACGCAAATTTCACTACGCTCCTTTCACCAACTAGGAGAGAAAGGAGGTATTTGGGCGAGAAACAGGCGATTTGAATTTAGCTCAGAGGCGTCATTTAGGCTTGAGGATCTTTTACATGCAAGTAAATCTACGAACATGGGACAGTCGGCTTTACTTCCTCTCCGAAGGAAGGCGTACGAAGGATTTTTTCGCCCTTAAAAATCCACGGCTTTGATCGGGTTTGAACCCGCCAACTTGGGTACAACAGTCCAGTACGCTAACCGTTACACCATCGCCGCCGCTGATTCGGTGGGCTCTGTCTAGGAAAGGGATCCCTGACGCCTTTACCAATTTGGTAATGGACTCTATAAGAGTAAAACAGACGATCCCTTGTCCCCACTCATTTTTAATCTCATCATGGAGTTCCTGCTTGAGAAATTGTAAAACATGTCAGGATACTCGCTATTGGAAAGGAGTGTGTTAGCATTTGCTGATGATCTCGTGCTGTTAGCAAAGGATGACCCAGGAGTTCAAGAATTGGTTGATATTGTGGTGAAATATCTTGGTGCCCTTGGAATGAAATGTCCGTCGTGAATTGATCATTTCAAATTTCAACTCTTGAACGATCCTGGTTCGTTGAGGAAATGTTGGGGAGAGAATTCCTCTTGTCAGTAATGATCATACACTAACATACCTGAGAGTATATAAAATACTCTATCTGTAACGGTGTATCCCATCTAAAGCATCGATATAGAATTTGATGGAATCAGTGTTGAACAGTTGCTTCAGAAGGCGCATTTAAAGCCCACTCAGAAGTTTGCATTACTTCATACTTACATAATACCACATTACCTATATCAATTGGTTTTATCCATGCTATCTACGTCGATACTCAGGGAAGAAGACGGTCAAATCAGAGTGGCAGTCAAAGTTCCTACATCTATATATGAGTACTGCAGATGGCTTATTCTACCTGGCCAAGAGAGATGGAGGACTGGGATTGCTGCGGCTCGCCAAGCACGTTTCCAGGGTTGCGCTGAACCTAGGATTACGATTACAAAAATCTGCAGATCCTATTTGCAGATGGTTGAGCTCCTGTCCGAGTTTTTACCAACGGACATTAAACACCTCAAAATCACTGTGACTGAACTGGTCCTATTCTGAACAAAATGTAAGGGATTGTAAGAAGAAATGCGCCGATGACGAGGTAGACGCCTGGGAGAAGATGGGATCCCAAGGGAGAGCGGTTAGATCGCATATAAACGATCCGATTTTTTGAACGATTATCATATACAAAATATAAAAAATAAAGAAAACATTTGAAGCCGTTTTCGAAAATATAATTGTTTAAAAATTGCCTATATTTCACGCCAAGCTACGCAAAAAATACTAATATTTAAAAAAAATGTAAATGATCTTACTTTAGAGCCTGTTTTTGAACAACAGATTTTATTTGACAAAAAAGCTTTATCTTGAGTATAGTATATAATTATGACGAAAAAATTTGTGTGTTTGCGATTTTCAAAACTGTAGAGATCTCAAAGAAAATGTAACATATGCCATTTTATAAGGGCAATTTGCGCTATCCAAGGAAAAAATTTAATAAAAAATTGGAGCGATTTTTGAAATATTTTGAATATGTTGTTTTCATATATAGTATTCCCAAAAATAAAATGTCAGTTTAAAATTCTCAGAGCTTCAAGTTCGTGCAGATCAATCAGAAAATTTTAATTTTGGAAAGAATCGTCTGCAGGGTTTAGGTGCTGTCGTTGACCACAAACAAACGGACGCACATACTGACAGAGAGACATACTTTTTTTCGTCAAGCGATTTTTCGGTATCAAGGTTCCACTGAATGTGGATTCTGACTAAACAGTGTGTTAGTGGAAGTAATTTACTACGTATAGAAAAATGGTTTATCCATACGTCACTACCAGAACCCGACAATACGAGTTTTCTGCCATAAAATCGCCAATTTCCATCGCAGATCTACAATACATCTTTATTACATAAACGTAGTGAGACGAGATTGTAAAATTCAATTCAAAAAATCCGCATCAAATCCAAAGAATACATTCTTCTTGTGTTCTCGTAATGATTTTGGCAAAAAGGCAATAACTCATTCCCGAATTGGAGTGTCTATGATCTGTCTCTATGAGACATTTTCAAAATTAAATTTGTTATTGTTAAGAATGTATCTGATGGTAGGAAGAATATCATATAAGGGAACTGCAAAATTAATAATGAGTGAATTATACTTTAACAAGGTGTTAATGATTACGAATTGGCGGATACTCAGAAAGAATTCTAAGACTAGAGATACAATACCAAAATGGAGGGGGTACTACAAGATCTCGTAAGTTCTCAACAAAATGAAAACTTACGAAGCACATTAGTCAAATTTATTGTGTGTAATTGCCTTAAAAGGTCATTTAAGTATGTGCAGAAATTGTATTGAGAGGAGCGTAAGGTAGTGACGGCAAGTCGCATAGGATGGTCGACTTACATCTTTTATTTAAACCATGTGCTCTTGGTACCCTCCCTGTAGTAGGACGGTATATCCTGTCGTAAGATTTAAAACCAATATATTTCTTTATTTTCCGCGTGGAGTATCCGAAACAATAGACTTTTGAAAACCTTTGGCAATCAAAAGACTTTTGACTTTTTCACAAAGTCACACAGGTCAGATAACAGGGAAGATAAAAGAATGGGATTTAAAATGTCAAGGGAACACTGTCAAAATTTACCGAAAGAGAAGGGTGAACGCCAGTGTTTTGGAATTAGAACACATCTTTCGTTAAAGAAATGAAAGAAATGTGTTGAGAGTACGATCGAATAATAATTTTCGAAAACAATTTTTTTCTGCATAAATATCCTTCGCTAAAACAGTGTACTAGAGACTTAAGTATTAATAGAAACGTAAAATGCTCGAAAGCGTAGTATAGTAATGAAGATGGCGATTTGAGAAGCACGTGCGGATTGTCTCTTGAGGATCGGAAAGCCCATTCCTGGAGGCTGCTGGCGATGGGCAGCAGTGCCCAGCTGTGTGCCCGGCCTGCCCCGCCACCCCCGGCTGCCCGGGCTGCCCGGCCTGCCCCAACGCGCCTCCATGCCCACGTCGCATCCCCCCCGGCTACACGCAGCACGGGCGCCTGGGTTACTACAAGATGCACTACGAGTTGCGGACGTGGCCTGAGGCGAAGGCTGCCTGTGAACGGGAGGGCGGATACCTCGCCGTGCTCAACTCCCAGGTGAGTCCACGACGCCGAGTTTAAACGGCAGCCGATGTTCAGTTCGCACACGTCCTAACCCAACCTACTTAACCTCTTTGTTGGTAGAGATTCACCTCACGACGATATTATTATATTATATTATATTATATTATATTATATTATATTATATTATATTATATTATATTATATTATATGCCGTTTACTATGACACATCTTTTCACTTTTCAGGAAGAAGCTAATTTGGCTGGCAGCTTTTTGCAAAGGTACAATATTGTTGGACACTTGCTGGTCGGATTCTTTGACGTGACCAAGAATGGGACTTATATAACTGTATTAAGTAAGTACGCGTACACATGGTATAAACATGCGATTGCACTTTGAGCAAATCAATTAGCAATTCTATAACGAACAAAAAGTTCATAGTTGCGGATATGTCATTCTCACTGAAACCTGAGAACTTCATTCTTTAATAATTTTAAATCAGTGAACGTACGTCCTCATTATGTGCATATTATATGAAAGTGAAAGAGTAAATGTGTTGCAGACGAGCCTCTGTCGTCTACGGGATACGAAGGATGGGCGTCGAGCGAGCCGAACCACGTGGGCACGGAGAACTGCGGCTCCTACTTCCCCAACCAAGGTCTCAACGACGAGGCCTGCAACGTCCCGAAGGCCTTCTTGTGCGAGCTTTTCGCGTGAGGTGCTATTTCACCTGCACCTCGACAGCAAGCGTCGCACACACGCGCTGCACATCAGGGGACACCTCACGGCTCCTCCCATCACGTGCGCGAGCGCTTATGGCCACAATCCGGCCGGCAAAACACTTCCGCTTCGTATCTTCGATCCATCGATTGACTGATTGAGATCGAGGAACATCAACTGCTAGGGTGTTTAGTTCCGTTAGCGTAGTGAATGTTTTATTAGGGTGCTCCATTGAATGGTGATATTCGGAGCCAACATACACGTTGGCTTGCTGATTCCCCTTCCGGAAAATCCACCCAGCGGCGCACCGTCCCAAACGGGACAAGCTTTGTACTCTTGAATTGTGAGAATGCTAATGAGGTTTTGTTGACATTATTTCATCTTGTAAGCTTACGGCTAGTCTTCCGCCGCGGCATGTTGGGGCATCGCATGTCCTGCCGTGTTGCGTCATTGACAAACCGTGACTTCAACAATGTAATGATATATTTGGATATGTGATTTGATCGATCACTTTGGGAAACTTCTGTGCGTGTTGAAAGATGTTCAGTAGGCATCACTGCGTTGATATATTGCCCAAAGAGGGCACGCACTTTTTCACAAAGCTGAGCGCGTTGAAGCGTTTGTCCCACTGAAGGAGGACAGGTGGATAACCATTCTCAAATACAAACTGTGCAAACCACGCGAAAACCTTCTAGTATTTATGATTTTGTCATTTATGGGTTAATATTTAGCACATTCTACGGTGTACATGTGCGTTCGCCTCAAGAGGTACTTTTTTAATTATTATTATTATTATTATTATTACGAAGTTCGTTAAAAACATGTTTCTTTCCTGTCGAGCGAAATGCTGTTTGTAGAGTACTTTATACGAGAGACCATGAATATTTCCCTTGAAACACACTATATCCCATGCTGATGTGAGCCCGGACAAATAAAAAGGGAGTAAATTTTCTTTTCATGCAATTGAAACTTATACTTGTTTGGCCATTATACAATATATTTTTGAGAGACAGGTTAAAAATTAATTAAGAGACTTTGGTCCATTATCGTAAAAACAAAGCGATTTATTTAAAAAACAATATTTTCTCTGTTTCTATCCAATAATGGGTCAACTAAGCCCTGTTATATTTCTGCATAAAACTGCCATACTGATTCGAACCCTTTAAATTCAGAATTTAAAGTTGAAATGCGCCTTGCGACGCAAAATTTGCGACAACTGTAACGTTTGCTATATTATCTCTATGTTTATTTACGTTTCGTAAAAAAGTAACGTATAATGTTCCTCACTTCTCTTTAATTAGGTTAGCAATGTTGATATTGATATAAACCATAGAGAATTGGTCGTAATTCAACGTTCTTAATATGAATATTGTAATATGATATGATATTGAAATATATGATTATTGTAACATGCTAAAATACTGAAGTTCTTTATAATAAATTTTATGAAAAGAAAACCTACATTACATTGATTCATAAGTATTGTGGAATGTAAGTGATAGAAATGAATGGTTACTACATTTGAAAATGGTAGTAGCGGTAGATGTTGCGTGGCGCGCGAGAGTCTCGCGCCGGCTCTGTCGGGGTGGTGTCCGGAGCTTGCGGCAATGACTTCGTTTCTGTACGCGGGGGTAAGTGATGCTGCTAGTACTTTGAGCCTAGTGCATCGTAGATTCTATAGGGCGTTTCATGAGCAATTATAATGAAAAACAATTTATGCTCTCACAAACTGCATTAGCGTCTAAACAATACCCTACAAGTTGTTTTGCTCTTGCTGCGATGCATGATGGTGTTTTGTTCTCCGATCACTTGAATAAAAACGTGAAAACGTGAAGTTTGCTAAGTTTAAAAATCACATCTCAATTTTATGACCCCATATCAGAACATGACACGAAGCTTTCCATTTATGGTTTCGTTGCTAATGAGGCTTAACAGGGAGTTTTAGCGCCTTACGTAACGTAGCAACGTTATGCACTAACAGTCACGTAACGCACCTTGAAGCCATAACGTCTTAACTAATGCACGACCTTACACCTTCATAAATAGTGCATGTCTCTCCTACAGGTGTGCACTATTCATGTACCTCTCTACGGCCATATTATGAACAGCAAAATGGCCGCCTAAACCAAAAAAAGTTGCATTTTCCAACTCTAATAAACTGACGCTTGAATGTGAAACAAGTACAATTATTCCTTACCACCTCCACAACTCTGCCAAGAATTAACGAAAGATGTTGGAAAGGTGTCAGGCTAGAAATTCGCGAAAAAAATAAGTTGAAATGATATCTTCGTGTTAGGTAACAGTATGTATTAGATATTCCCTACACTCTCAAGAAAAGGCGATTCAAAAAACCAGACTGCATACTCATCATGCTGAGCCTGAAAATCTAAAACTCCTTGCTTAATTTAGATTTGTTTACTCTTCCATGGTAGACTTTGTAGACTCCTTTCATGGTTCCAATGTCACCACACTCTACACTCTTTGATATATTAGTCAGCTTCTTTGTTCGACGCTCGAAATATTTCTTTTGTTATAAGCCATAACGCAATGTCGTAACTGCTAAAGCTCTTCTGGACTTTGTACCTTATGACAGAATAACGTCTCTTTACACCTGGTGCAAAAACTCCCTAATGTCTCTGTGTGCGGTCCTCTAGGGCAAGCAGCGAGGCTCCGCCCCTGGCAAGGCAGCGCGCGTACGTCAATCGGCAGGGCTCTTCGCCGACTCTCCGGCGACGTCGAACAAAGGGACCGCATCAGGTAAAACGCAGCGACCGGCGGCCGCAGTGGGAAGGCTCCCATTTAAAGCTGTATTCTGCTAGCGGTGGCGCGTACCATCTCCTCCGCTTCGCGTAGCGAGAGTCTTGACGGAAGCGCGCTGCCGTCGCGACGTGGGAAGGCGCTCTTAGGAGTTCGGTTTAACATGAGAACAGTGGACAAATAGAGCTATCATGCATCCCGAACGTGGCCGGCCGCATTATGTACTGCATAAACAGCCGGCATGTCACAAGTCAATTTGCATGATATTCTTAACCATAATCAGGGGAATTTTCAAGTTATTTTAGCTGCACGCATATTTTTCACGTTCTCTACTCTACTGTTCTACTGATCAGTACTTTAATGTACTCTGTCAGACGCTCTCTTTCCATCCATCTGTGACGACCAGCAATGTTCAATATTGCCAAGGGCCTTAGGTTCCCTTATGGGCAATGATGTTCGTAACTACGACTTGCACAAGTTATGTGCATACACAACTAATTAGCCTAAGATGGTCTTTAATAGAAATGTAATTTTAATGGTTTTATGATATGATATTTTAACACCTTTACCAAGATATAATATCTGAAGAAGCGTCTGAATATTGGGCAGCGAAACGTAATAGTTTTCAAGTTTTGTCAATATTATATGTATTATTTTTATCAAGTTAAAGTGTTTATACTATACATTCTCAAACAGCCCGCCTCCTCAGTTGTCTATATTCCTCATTTGGTTTTAACTGAACGTCCCTAAAATTCCAAACAATATCAATTACCAAAAAAAAAGTGATGGTCTATAATTGGAAGGATGCCGAATGTTTCAACCGATATAAATCTTAAATGCAAAAGTTTAATAAGACTACTTTGTGGACATTTTATTGGATTTTAAGTTTATTAAATAAATTTATTTTGGATAAAATTGTTGAAATTCTGAACTAAACTAATTTTATCCCTACACATATAATACAACATGCCAGTAAGCCGATCAAATGACCGAGATTGCTAAGACAATAGTGCCGTAGCAGTTTTGGTCCAGAAAATCGCAGGTTTGAGACCCGCCTTGGGTATGGGTGTATTGGTGCTTGTCTGTATGTGTGTGTCGTTCTCTCTTCCTTCACTCATCATCCTCATTTCATCTTCAGTACCACCAGGGCTAACAACCCCGGGGAATATAAATCGGATCCAGAAAAATGCTGATCTCCTGATAAAAAAAATTACATGCTACCTGCCACCGAGATAATTCTGAGTTCCTGTAAATGTAGGGTGCATGTACACGGCATGTACACGGAGGTGGCTTCAAGGCATCAACTGATGTCGCTGCAGTGCCTCTGACCGGGATGTCTAAGGGTTCGAGTTCCAACGGTGGAAGGATTTCGACAGTAATCAGATAGCTAGGTGAAGTTCAGTCGCTGTCTGGAGAAGAATTCTAGCGGCCGGGTGCTCTGATCAGTAGTTTTCCGTGGTGTCTCCGATCAATACTAGGTGGATGGTGGAGTGTTACCCTACCAAACAGGCCATGGACCGCGCGCAATCTGTCCTTCACATTCCTTGTTCTATGCTCAATTACACCTTCATGCACTACACCACCACACATGCCGGGCGCAGTTTCAGAGCGCGGCAACTGCTTTGGTCATTAGTCCAGTAAGTGATGTTAATTGTTTTATCACGAGTGGAGGTTGTGATTTTCCCCGACTACGATTATATTATTAATATAATATAAAATATTTCTATTTATCTTATACTATAATATTAATCTTCTTTTGGTATGAAGGACTCTTACTAATGTTTATTGACTTCTGAAATAATGCTCATATATACAAGTATATTACAATAATTCTTTTTACTTTCTCGCAATTACTACGTAAGAAGAGAACGTTATGTAACGTGCATATGAAAACTGAGAATTGGCGACAGAACAACTTTTATTGCCTGGCTCTAATAACAAAAATAGGATAAATCTTGCTGTATTTAGTGAATTCCTCCCCCTTACACAAAACATGCCAAAATACATGTTTTGTGGCTCCCCGATTCCTAAAAATTAATTGATGGTAAAACAACTGTCTGTCCGTTCTTCCGTGTGTTGTCAACGCTGGCGCCTAAATCATTCAGCCGATTTTCCCCAAAATTGATATTCCCGGAACGATTTGAACGAACTCGTGTCTTTAGAAGTTTCAACAGAATATTTTCATTTTTAGGGGTGCTTTACATGAAGCTTTGGAAGCATTTTCAAAATTCTCTCAAAAATGGCTCCAATTTTTTTATTATGGTTTGTGGCAGACCAGAGTGATGTTGGATATTGCTATATCTGAGGGGTAAATTTATTAAATTGTAAGAATTTGAGGTT